AGCAAGCAAGAAAGAGAGAGAGAGAGAGAGAGAGAGAGTGAGTGTGGAAGAAGAAGAGAGAGACAGAGAGAGAGAGAGAGAGAGAGAGATAGAGAGAGATAAAAAACAAAACAGAGAGAGAAAAAGAGCCAGAGAGAGATGGGGTTATTCAGTCGAGCTCGTTCCATCTTTCGCGACAGCCCCTTGCAAGCAGCTTTTAGCCGGCCAGCTGTGTTGCAGGACAGGCGCCATTCGCATCCGACACAGTTCTGGAGACTTATGCGAAGGCTTGCGGCCGGCATGATCGCACGGCCAATGCTCTTCGAAAGGTTGCAGAAAGTAGCGCTGATTTTGCGGTTGGACTGTTAGGCTGGCCCGATTTTTGGGACAGGTCATGAGTGGAATCGACGCCGTCAACTTCGAAAAGCTCGGGGAAGATGTGGTGGCGTTGGCCCAGAGCTCAGCAGTGGCCGTCAGCATCCGGAAGACTGCTCATGCACCTGTCTAGACCGCCAGGGCCCTGCTTCTCATGTTCACGCACAGGTGATAGGCCTATGCGAAGACGTTCCGGGAAAGCGGCTGGCCATGAAGGAAGGAGGCCTGACAGATCCTGACGGGGTCAGTGTTCCGTGATTTGACATAAGACACGGGTCAGGCATTCAGAACATCAAGCTGCAGAAGTGGTTCAAGGGCTTCGCGTGGAGCGATATGGAAAATCTCTCCATGGAGCCACCATGCGCGCGAGTCTCACGTTCGTGTGAGCCGGTTCCAGTCAAGTGAGTAGACATGCGCACGAGTGGAACCCAGGTGCCAGCGGTGAAGAGCAAGATTGACCTGACCAACTTCACCCCCCCTGACGAGGATGGGATGCGCCCAGAGACCCTGTACAAAGCTTACGAGGATCCCAAGATCGGCTGGGACAAAGATTTTGCTACCAGTGAGTGAGCTGGTCGCAGGTTTTCCATTCTTCGCTATTTGGTGCGAAAGAGACTGTGGCACATGATCTCAGTTGGAAGGGAACGAGTCGAGCCAGGAAGAACTTCGCATCACGTCACAAGTTCCGCAGCGCGCTGGCATGAAATCGGCTGCTTTGCCGAGTGCTCGCAGCTTTGCATGGGGGCTCCATCCCATCGTGCCGTGTGGAAGGCCAGCACAAGGGCATGGAGAATGGAAGGAGTCAAGCGATCCTGCAATGAAGAAAGACTGTATCTTCCATGCTTCTGCTCCTCCACCCATACTCGATGAAGATTGGATCATGCCGAGTTTCACAGCACTCAAAGACTCCATGGCCTCAAAGCCAGGCTTGGTCGGAAAACATGGTCCAAGACAGTGTTCTTGTTTGTGTTTCACGGCAGCTTTGAAAGCTAGCATTCTGCTCCGAAGCCCCTGGATCCCTATATGTCATTTCCCATCTACTTCAACTGGTTCAGCTTGGCACGGTTTCTTAACCACAACAATCTGATCAAGACTCAGTGTGGGTGAATACTGCGCGTGCAAAGACATGCGCGGGGGAAGTGGAGATGACTTCGGAATGATGACAAGTTGGCTTGTTTCGCAAACCCTCCAAAAAGGCACAATTGCGCGTGCTGTTTGCCTGCTGGTGCTGAAGCTGTCTGCCTGATAACAGTAACGGGCCACAGATTGCAAGCAACTTTACATGCCGCTTCACACATGCGCGCAGACACAGCTCCCAGATACTAACCGCAAAGAAGAGTCTGCTTAGGAGAGCCTGCTGCTGTCCCAAGGTCCAGGAGGGAATCCATGCAATCAGAAAGGGAAATGTGAAGGCTTTGGTCCAGAGCTCAGCAGTGGCTTTCAACATCCCCTTGCCAGCCGAGCCCTGCTGCGCATGTGATGCATGTTTGAATTGGAGCACAAGATCAAACGGTGTATGGATAAACAACCTGATTACCTTAAGCCCCCAAAGCCTATGTTTCAGTTCGAGCGACAGCTCAATCACAAAACTAAGGTCATCCATGCTCACCGACATGTTCGAGAGTGAATGCCGAAACTCCAAAGCCCTATAAAAGGGTCTTGCACCAGGTCTTGCACAGCGTTTTTTGGTCGAGCGGTTTCTGTAGAGAAACATGACGTGGATCGTACGTAATGCCGCTCTTCTCTGCAAACAGTTGTAGGTAGCAACGCAAACTCACAAGCCTTTGAAGCATTCGTAGTGTTCTTGAGAATATGTTTTTGTTGTCACACTCCGGGATACTCACCGTACACATCCACAGAATTGGTATGAATTGTAAGCACTGTAAGCATCCAGCAACCCTGACGCTTTCCGGTGGCTACTTGGTCTGTCGCCATCATGGCCGGGCGCTCAGCGAATAACCATACGCTTGTGTACGCAGACCTAACCAAAGCGAGCGACAGCATGCAGGTGGATTCCGCAATTAAGAACTTCGAAGGGAGCGTTTGAGTTCGGAGGGTGTCCAAACCTTGCTAAAATGAGGGGTAGAAGGCAACACAACGAAACTTAAGCTGCAAGGCGACCCAAGAACTCAGCCATGGGTTCCTCAAGTCGACAGCTAACATGTAAGGCCTCAAATCTAAACCCTTCCTAAACTCTAAACCCTATATGCCCTACGTGATTGGGACCGTTTTCAGGTGCTCTCCGAAGCAGAAAAGTTGGCTCGCGCCAAGGCCGAAAGAGAGGCCCGACGTGGTTTTTGAAGTGAGGGTCAAAGGGGTTCCTTTTGTTTCAAGGTTCCTCCAAGGGTTCTAGACGACTCTGACTATGACACTTTCTGTGGTGGGTTCGGCAGTCACGCTGAAGGTCCTGCCTCCAGCTGCTGGGGATTGATTCACATCCTAGGTCTTTTCAGCTCGACCTCGTGATTCTTTTGTCACGCTTGCGCAGGTACTCTTATGTTCTTTTCCGCTTTCCAGCAGTTCAACAAGCCTCAAGCATTCACATTGCTGCACGCTGCACACTACACAGGGACAGCTGAATAGCAGCATAAGCTCTGAACCCTTAACCTGCCATACACCGGAATTAATTCCAAATTGTCAGGCCTTGGCTGCGAAGAAAGCCGAAAAGGAGCGAATCGAAGCTGTGCCTAGGTGGCCTTGGACGGTGGAGATGTGAGAGGGCTCAAGCTTTACCTGTCATTTTCGAGATTCACCAAAATGAATGGCAGCGCCAGTACAAAGCCTCAACTCGTTTGATTAAGTGTCGTTCGTCATTCCTTGATTGAAAATTCGCCAAATATGCCTGACTTGCTTGACGATAGTCTTGCTCTGTTCAGAGTATACCCCCATGTCGTAAAAAGTTGAGCCTTCCTGTGCTTCCCACGACCCGACAAACCTCAGGAAATTCGTGCAGACCGAGACTTGTACGATGCTGTGCGCAGCAACGCTCGAGAGGCCTCGGCCTCCGCACTGTGATGCAGTCACGGGTGGGCGTGATGTGCATCATGCGTCGGCTCGCCCTGTCAGCCGGGCTGCGTGGTCCATGAACTTATGTCGTAGTGTTTCCGAGTTTCGGTCCCTGGGCAGTAGGAATCCACACGTTCCGTTTCGTGCTGAACTTCCGCTGATTGCTTACGGCAGTGACATTTTCTCATGCCCTTTCGTCTTGGTTTGGCTTACCACGGAGCTATCTTGGCAAGGGTTGGGAGGATTCGTCGGCACTGGGGCCACGCATTCGCACGAATTGCCAACAATGATTCGTGGAGCACGTCGCTTGTTGCCGCATGCCTCGCTGCTCTTCTCGCCATCGTGTTTGGTTTGTCGGTTTCTTGGGAAGTTGGGTCCTTTGCTGAGGAGGCACCCGCTGCAGCTCCACGGCTGTTGATCCGCGTCCGCTACGATGTGGACGGCCAGAAAGGTCAGCTGCTCATTTCTCACACCTTGCCGTCTTGAGCCCAAAACCTTGCAATCTAGAGACTCTGTCTATCTCTCTCCTTCCCTCCCCTCTCTCTCTTTCTCTCTCGCGCTCTCTGCCCCTCTCCCTCTCCCTCTCGCTCTCCCTCTCCCTCTCCCTCTCCCTCTCCCTCTCCCTCTCCCTCTCCCTCTCTACTCCGTCTATCTCATCTGGTTGTTTGCTTCTGTTATCTGTGTGGGTGGGCTTATCTTTTTTTATTTTTTTTATTTTTTTAATCTTATTTATTTTATCTGATTGATTTATATTTTTACTTATTTTATTTATATTATATTTTCTATATTTTTGGTTATATATTTTTCTATTTCTTTGGTTATTTGATTATTTATCTAATTTTTTTGGTTTTTTTATTTATTTTGCTTATCTGCTCATTTGATTAATTATAATTATTTAATTAGATTAAAAACTAAATTTAAATAATGAATTTTTTAATAAGACTATATAAGGTTAGATAAATATTTTTCGAGAAAGATAATTTATTGAATTTTTGGTTAGAATAATTTAAATATATTCTATATATTATGAAATTTTTGGCTTGATATTCTATTTTCATAGAAGAAATATATAAATAATTATAAAAAGTATATCTAATGGATCTTTTTTTAAGATGGTTTTTAAATGGCGTTGTCTTAATTAAGAAAGATTTATATATTCTATCGTATATGCAGGTAATGATATTTATGGATATTAATAATTAGGAGAATGATTTTATTTTATCTGGTAAGGTGAATTAATGGATTCGTAAAGATTGGTTTGGAGGTTCCGGTCTTCTATTTATTTTCTTTCTGGGTTTATTTATTATCTCTGCTATTATGCTATGTTCTGAGTGATAGACGTGGCCCTTC